TGTTTTGTCATACTATCTCTACTATCTCTACTATTTCTGCAAAAATGTCAATTGTGAAGAAAAAGAAATGGGTTTAAAACTTTACAGTTCGATTTTAAATTTTGGATTATTATTCATAAATTGAAATATAAACGATATTCTTTTTGATTTGATTTTTATTATACTTTTGATGAATGTGGCAATTAAATTGTCATTTTCTACACATAAAGAAACTATCATGTTAAGAGGAGCACACTGTACAGGGAAAAAACTTGATGTGATTTGAAGAATTGGAACTTGGAGAATGAATAAATAAAAAAAATATTTCGAAAATATTTCATGGACTTCCAATTAATTAACATTGTAATTCATTCAAATAGTTGAAGAGTTGACAACTTTTTTAGTTTCAGATATTTTTTATAGTTTAAATCTCAGAGCTTGAAAGATGTTTATCTTATGAAGAAAATTTGATGACTGAAGAATTGTTGCAGAATAAAAAAAATCAAGATTTTAAAAAATCGCGTGCCTTGGTTTTCCTTTCAAGCGTTGAATAAAAAACTGTGTTATGCAACAACACCTATTAGGACATTTCCAAATATTTAGTCTGGATGGCCCGAATTTGCTAAATAAAGCTGTACTACTATATTATTTGTAAGGATGGTCGGGTATAAAACATATATTTGATTATACTCGGCATGCATGACTGCTATATGTGCAAACAGGATAAATTTGGTGAAATCAAGAGTGCTAGGCTACATACGAATTTTTAAATCTTGTTGTAGGATATTCAGAACCTTATCTATTTTGTAAAGTGAGACACTAAAACTTGTGAAATAGTAAGACGACTGTTATGATTAAAAATAGTTTAATGTGAACATAGAATACAACAAATATACAGTTTACACAAACCCATTTCATGCAATACGTTGTGTTTCTACAGCTATACCGATAAAACTATTTGCCTTAAAATACAGAGCGTTCCATATCATATAAGATTATCTCCAAGCTTTTACGCCAAAATACGCACATAATACTCGAAAAATCTATTATTTTCTGCAAGAAAACTTTTAAAAAAGATTTTACGTTTTCTAAAAATGATTCATTGTTTTCAAATTTTCTGAATAGTCCCAAAATCACAAACTTGAGCTATACACGATCTAATATGATGTGGGACACCCTGTAACATACTTTTGGTTGAATGTCGTCTTCTTATACTATAGTTTTTAGGTCTAATTGGAATGAATTTTTCCTTAAAAGGTCTTTTTAACTGAAATAAAGATTGTTTACATATGCAGCTGGTATAACTATAAAAATATGCCCTGATCAATTTTCATTTTCACGAAATTTTGTATATTTAATTATTTACTACAGTGAGTCCAATAAAACCCGAAATATGAAGACGACTTATAAAGTTAATAAAAAAGTTGATTTTCAGACTTCCATGGTATACAACAAATACTTGCGTTATAACAATATCAATTTTACACATAAATTTGTTGAAAATGTAAGTACAAATACACTTCTTTGTTTGCATGATCGGAATCTTAAATTTAACCCTCTAAATATAATCCAACTTGAAGGTCGAAGAAAATCTGCCATATTTTAGTCTTTCATAATTTTTTCTCGAGATATCAACGCTAAACAAGCGCCAACCCCCCTCCTGTAGTTGTTTTGTCCTAACTCTCTCAAAGTTGACACTATCACTGTGAAATTTGAGACTTTTAATGAATAGTAATTTAATTTGAATCAACAAAAAAATACATAATCTAGCTACATTAACATTTGTATAAAATACATAATCTAGCTACATTAACATTTGTATAAAATGTGCAGCATGTAAAGCTCAGCTCAGCGACAAAGCATCGGAAAAAGTTTAAATTCATAATATGTGACTGTTCAGCAATATTTTAGATGTTTCCAATAAATAGTTTTGGCAAGCTTCCAGGAAAACAAAATCGCTCTCTAGCATTAGTCAGTTAGCGTATTCCTAGATACTTAAAGCGTATACATTGGAGTTCAAATAAACATTAAATATGTATTTTGTAAAAATTACTAAATATTTTTTTTCAACGTGGTTTTAATACAGACATGACTATATGCTGGGCGTGTAAAATTTTATCATTTAAGGGGGGGAAGCTGAAACCTTCATATACCCAATATGTTTAAGCCCATAATTTTTAAACACAGTTCTAGATCCTATTTTCATTGATTTGACTTCTTCGATTTCAGAATGGTTCTCTGTTATATTTGTTTGTTCGATGAGATCACAGAATCATGTGCTAAATGTGAGAAAGTGTTCTGCAGTACTGCACATCTGAATTTACACATGGCAGGGGATACCTGCATGCCGGTTGAGATTTGTGATCACCCTCTTTATGGGCGACATCTAGTGGCAAACAAGGGAATTATGTGTTACTAACTGAAGTGTCCCACGTTGCCCGTGGAATTTTAGAAACACTTAAAAAAAATTTAAATTTGTTAGAAAAATATTAAATTTTGAAGAAAAAAATTTGACTCCAGGGTTCATTAAAAAAATTTTAACCAATTTTGGTCCAGCCATTTGGCCAGCTATAGCTAATATATATATATATAAATATGTATGTATACATACATACAAATATACAAACAAATATATATACATAATTAAGGGTGTCTAAAAAATGGGGAAAAGGGTCTATAGACTCGTTAGTAGTCGGATTTTCAAGATTACTAATTAGTCTCTCAATCTTGAAAATTCTATTGCAAACAAGTCTGCATAGACCCTTATGTGCAAACGGAGATTATCTTTATTTTTACCTAATTTACTCACTCCAGTTGAAAATTTTAGGAGCCTTTAACATTGTCATTTTTAGATCTACAAGCCTAACATTGGGCTCATTGATCGGAAATTGGACATAGATTTTATAAATGATCTCAATCTTAGAAATCCGACTAGAAACGAGTCTGTAGACCCTCATTCAACGTTTTTCTTCAGACACCTTGTATATATTTTATATATTTTATATATATATATATATATGAGCGAAGAGCTTAATTATATGTAAAAAAAATATCTGTTATTGTTAAAAATTAGTTTTAATTGATTTTATAATCAAGCTTTATAAAAGAAGAATTGAACCCAAAGTTAAATAGTGCTACGGCAACATTTCAAAGATTAATGTCGTCTATATAACGACGAAACAAACAATGCATTCTTTTAAGTTTATATCGAAAATAAATCATCAAACTTTAATATAACACAATAGTTTTCATTAAGGATATAGCAGCAGGTATAATCAATGCTTTTAAAATTACTAACATTTCAAAATGTAAATCCTCGAAACGTACTCTTATTGATAAGGCTTTATAGGGAGTGACCGGCAATGTATGTTAGTTGCTTAAGAACAGGTTGAGAAAATAAAAACTAACCCTTATCATCGAAAATAAGTAATTGTATTTAGTTATTTGTTTCTTTAATGTCTCATTGTTCAAAAATCTTTTCTGCAGTATTCTGGAATTTTTATTGAAAAGACGACATTTGAATAATTTGTAGAAATCTGCGCACAAATTCGTTAAGTTTAAGAAATTCAATATGAAGATAAAAAAGAAATAATTGGTTCTAACATTGATTTTCATTGAGAAATAGGTTCCTGAACAACTAATTAGTTTACTGTCGAATTTTTGATACATTTTTCGTCGTCGTTATTTAATAATTTTTAAAAAATCGATTCTCTCAAAACGTAACCACCCAAATTTATGATTTTGAACGTCGACTTTGCCCTTAAACTCAAAAATTATACATCATTAAAACGTGTTATATGTCTCTAATGAAGTTTTTTCTACAATTCTACATTCTCAGTTCAACTCTACCATTGTTAACCATTAACTTTAAGACCTCTGGATAATGTCGTCTTCAACTTAAAATCTCCTCTCGGAGAAAAACCAAACCAAATAATTTCAGCCCGCATTCTCTTTGTACTCCGCCCCACGGAGCCTAAAACATTTTCGTTTATTGTGAAATCATTAAAGTTAAGCAAGAATAGTTTCATATGAAGCATCAGTGAATTTCGTTAAATATTCAAAATGTAATTTTTTTTCAGAAGTTAAAAAACGTATTTCAATACTGATCAACAATAAGTTTCCCCTTATCATCCCTTATTAAATCGTAAGATTTTTTTTATTATTAATATTTTTTGTAACATTGTACAAGTAACCATGACCTATAATTTATGTTATTTTTTTAGGAAATAAAGCTTTTGTTATCGATTTTCTTGAGACGGGACAATTCTGTTGTGTGTATTGCTACGGCCGACTGGGATATAAGAGTCTGGGGAAAATAAATATCCCTCACCAGAATCTCAACGGGCCTTTTATTCAAATTTGTCTGGTGTGTTGCTGTTATCTGTCAACAACCATACCTTGCCGGTCACTCCTTCCAACTCTAACAAATCAATGTGAATTAGAAATACTAGGCTTTTAGGAGCTTCGCCTTTTTTGTACTTTTGTAACAATCTGAGCTTCTAATTCTAAATAATAAATGTCGACATTTTTTCCAGGCAAAACTTTTCAAATTTGATCGGTCATAAAACTGGGCCTGGGGCTATGTGAGTGTCACAACAAACTTGGGCCCAAATTTTGACGTTTATCGTTAACAAACTTACAAACAAATTGGCAAGGTTCTCATTGATTTTTCCGCGAGAGCTTGCAACATTTGGGATCCCTGAATGCATCAATCTACCTATAGCACTCTTCAGAGACACTTTGTAGACATCTTATCTCCAGAAAAAATATCTCTCTTTACAAAAGTCAAGATTTGTTGAGTTTTGCAATTGTATTATTGATAAGTGGAGAATGTTCCACCATTTACTTTTGAAATTATCATATTGTATAAAATTTCTGGTATTGGAGATTTATTTCTAGAAGTGTGTCTGGTGTATATTGGGGACAAATAATTTACAAGTTGTATTAAAGGAGATTTAATTCTATCAGAAGTGTGTCTGGTGTATATTGGGGCCAAATAATTTACATATTGTAATATAGGAGATTTAATTCTATCAGAAGTGTGTCTGTTGTATATCAGAAGAATGCCATCGGGTCCTAATCGTTTATTTGTTTTGTGAAAGGACATATAGTTTTATTAGAAGATTGTCTGGTATTGGGTCCTTATCGTTTACTTGTTTTCTTCAAGAAGATCTAATCCTATCAGAAAAGTGTCTGGTATGGAGCCAGATCATTTTCTTGTTTATTTATCAAAAGAATGTCTGGTAGGGGCCAAATTGTTTACTTTTTTTGTAAAATGAGATCTAGGTTTTTATCAGAAGAATGTCTGGTATAGTGGCCAAATTAATAACTAGTTCTATTATAGGAGATCTAGTTTTATCAGAAGAATGTCTGGTATAGTGGCCAAATTAATAACTAGTTCTATTATAGGAGATCTAGTTTTATCAGAAGAATGTCTGGTATACAGGCCAAATTAATAACTAGTTCTATTATAGGAGATCTAGTTTTATCTGAAGAATGTCTGGTATGGGGCCCAAATCATTTATCAGATCTGTTTTGTCTTGAATGTCTGATACCTTTATCAGAACAGGTAAATTTTAGACCAAATCGATCATTTCCTTTAAACCACTGTTAAATATTTCAATGAACTGAAGTACATAGAAAAGTAGTTTAGTACAAAAACAACTCTAAAAACCAGTTCAACGACACAATTTACAATAAAAAGATTTTAGCGTCAAAATTCAATGAAGATATTTTAAGCAATAAAAGGGCTTTCCGGAATAATTGGAAAACCAAAACTGTGATTTGATTTTCAGTTTTCAATGAAAAAAAATGTATTGTTTATTTGATATGCAATGCAAATAAAAACACATCTATGATCTAAGACATTACATTACATTTGTGACAATGAACAATATCCCTTACAGGTTTTATTATAATGTTCATTGTACTTTACATGGGGGTACACAATGTTCATTACAGGTGTACAATGTAAACGCTGCTTATAATTTTTTTGTGCATTACAATTTATATAGTTTAAATTACTGTGTAGTCATAGATGTATTATAATCACATTTTTAATACAGTTTATGTACATTCTGTACACAGAGTAGATGTTTCATCAGAATATATACACTAGATATTATTCTGTACAGTGATACATTGTGCTTTGATATGTGCAATGCACACTTTTAAATACCGTTCAGCATGTGCACATGTACATATTAACCCAGGCTCTCTGGGGAGAACTTGTACTGTACGGTTCCTGGCTCGGGTAGTTGTGTACAGTTAGACTGCTCTGTCTAAATTCAACATTTATTCATTTATTTTTAATTTAGAGTGTTTGAGCAAAACCAATAGTTATAGTTTTAGAGAAGTTGACGTATAAAATATACAATAATTACGTTTATAGTTTTAGAGAAGTTGACGTATAAAATATACAATAAATACGATAATAGTTTCAGAGAAGTTGACGTATAAAGTAAACAATAAATACGTTAATAGTTTTAGAGAAGTTGACGTATAAAATATATAATAAATACGTTAATAGTTTTAGAGAAGTTGACGTATAAAAAATACAATAAATACGCTTATAGTTTTAGAGAAGTTGACGTATAAAATATACAATAATTACGTTTATAGTTGTAGAGAAGTTGACGTATAAAATATACAATAATAACGTTTATAGTTTTAGAGAAGTTGGCGTATAAAAAATACAATAAATACGTTAATAGTTTTAGAGAAGTTGACGTATAAAAAATACAATAAATACGTTAATAGTTTTAGAGAAGTTGACGTATAAAATATACAATAAATACGTTAATAGTTTTAGAGAAGTTGACGTATAAAATATACAATAAATACGTTAATAGTTTAAGAGAAGTTGACTTATAAAAAATACAAAAAATACGTTTATAGTTTTAGAGAAGTTTATGTATAAAATATGCAAAAAAAACTAAGTTGATAAAATATAGAGATAGTGTAGAGATTTTGCCTCACCCTCATATTCTTCTAGTCCTTATATATTTACAATAATATAAACCTTTGATATTCCGAACTGAGATTATTTGTTCTAACAGAATTCATAGTATATAATATATAAGGTCAACGACATTGGGTTGCAAAGATATAGGAATTAGAAAATTAGAGTTTACAGCAAACGACCGGGCTTATTGCATAATTTGTGCAACGTTCCGTTAATGAACGACTGGAGTCTGAAAAATAACGTAAAGTTTCCGAATACCTGACTAGTTAACCGTTTTAAATTATTATAACAAACTTTTGATGAACCGTTTGAAAAATGTTTTACCGTGCCTAGGCAAATTTTTGTTGAATGTCTGAAATTAGTTTATCATGGCAACCTTAAAATAGTCAAGAAACAGTTTTGAATTAAATTAAATCATGGTTTATGAATAATGCCTTGTAAAAAGAATCAACTGGAAGTCCCATTTCTCTCATCTCACTAAACAAGATATTGATCAAATTTAATCTAATCTTTCATACAGAGAGAACCAGAAAACTATGGAGTAGGAAGACTTTTTAAAATACTTCTTAACTGACTGGGTCTGTTTACACTGCCATTGGACTTTTAAAGTCTAACGGTCGTTTTCCTATTCCAGAGTTTTCTGGTTCTCATTGTATACTACAGTGATAACAAAAGTAAAGTGAGTATTTGATAATCCTCGCTCTTTTAGTTGATTATAAATCTGCTTAGAGTCATTTTTGTAATTCTAAAATGGAAACTTTCCTGAAAAACAATTAAACAGCTAAAATTATTAATAGTTAAGCTGGCGCTTATACGGTACATTCTAGTTCTTTTCATGTACCGGACCGAATTTCAACTAGCCAGAGGGCAAAACTTAAAAGAAATTTACCGGGTATCCCAAACCAAACCTGGCCTCGAAACCGGGTTAGCTCTCTTAAGTCTGGGTTTGAGTTTCGGAAACTCCGGAAACTCAGAATGTTACGGGGCAATACCTCAAAATGAAACCCTTGTATAGAAGTAGGGTTACGGCTGGGAAAGTGAGTTTCGTAGTGATTAAGGAACATATGAAGCACCATTTCTTCGTATTTATGCTTTAAATGGCTTCATATATGTTCCAAATACTTGATCAGTTAAGATCTCTCTCTCTATAGACTCGATATTGAATAGAGTACAGTCAAATCGAACTTAAAAACCTTTTTCTGTTAAAAGTGAATACAGTAATTTATTTAAGTTTATCTTCTAGCAGGCTCGTAACCAGGGGGGGTGCAAGGGTGCAGGTGCACCCCCCTTTCTTCTAAAAGAGGGGTGCAATGACAAATTTGCACTCCCCCCCCCTAGTCCCATATAACAGAAATTGTTTTCATAAGTTTCTAAAATCTAGTTATAAATTATATAGCCCGAGTAAGAATAATAATAGCAATAGACTGCTGAAGAAAAATTAACATTAATCTACCTAATACATTAAAATAGTTTTTTTCAAAAAGTCCTGTAAATCACTTTTGCTTAAAAATCTTAGTGATATTGTAAAAATTTAGAATGCAACAGAAAAAAAAATTGTAGCCTTAGAAATTTTTTTTAATGAGATCCTTGTGCAAAAAAAAACTTTTTTAAGTTTAATAAGTACCAAAAATATTCTTTAAACTAAAAGAAAGTCTCAGCAAATTCTCAAATGTATCTGATGACATCACACAACTACAGATATTTAAAACAAATCAGTAGCTCCACCTTTCTGGACATTATAAGAGTGTAAATTTAAATCTTTCCTTGGATGGGCCGACTATTACGCCAAAAAACGGATACCAATTTGATCACTTTCAAGTGCGTAGCAGCTTTATTCATAAAACACCACAGCTGGAGACTCCAACGACAGCATATTTTAACCCAGTTTCCTAGAGTTTCAAAATACGTTTTAAGAACATGAAACCCGAACTCTGCCAAACCCGGGTTTCAGGAAACCGGGTATCGTAGCGAGTTTTATAATTTTCTTAAGTTTTGCACTCAGGGGAAGCAGTACAGTACAAATACTGACTACATCAGAGTGCAAAACTTAAGAAAATTATAAATTTTTACAATAAATTCTAAATTTTTACAATATCAAAATGGGACTGTACACCAAATGAATGATCCTCTTCAAGTGCCTATAGGCTAACTTACCAAATTTTAAATGGAAGAATAATCAAGGAAATCTACCTGTAAAGCTGCTCAACTAACTCCTGCGATGGATTCTGTTCTCTTGTCAGCAACCACAGAGATTCTAAATCAATCAATCATCATTTTTAAAATTAGTCAATCATTCTGTTAAAACGATATCAATGTGATATGTAAAATCTTTAAGGATAAAATGGGATACGAGCATAATTGTACAGAAAACAATGATTATATTTTGTAATAATTCATCTTAAAAAGTTTGGTTTTCCTTAAGATCCGATTTGGCCTGTAAAACATCTTTGAACTAAAAATTCAATTGGGTTTAAGTAAACTTTACATAGCATGATTTCTTTTCTATAAAATGACCCCTAAATACTGTTAAATAACTTAGTATCCCACCCTAGTCGTAAAATTGGGGAAACTTTGCAATGAAAAGTAAACTAGAGGAATTAGGAAGTCACAAAGTCATACCACATAGTATCCAGTATACGTGTCCTTCTTCACCTGTTTTTATAAGTGGATACTGATTGCAGTTGTAAACTACAGCGTAGCTTTCATAATCAGTCTTCACAACATTATAGTTAGGGGCAGTTTTTCTTCCTCCACCTTTAAATGGAAATAACAATGTATAACCTTGTATATCTGGAAATATAACAATGCATAACCTGGTATATCTGGAAATATATTAATGTATAACCTGGTATATCTGGAAATATAACAATGTATAACCTGGTTTATCTGGATATATAACAATGCATAACCTGGTATATCTGGAAATATAACAATGTATAACCTGGTATAAGTGGAAATATAACAATGTAAAACCTGATAAATCTGGGAATATAATAATGTATAACCTGGTAAATTTGGGATTATAACAATATATAACCTGGTATATCTGGGAATATAACAATGTAAAACCTGATATATCTGGAAATATAACAATGTATAACCTGGTATATCTGGGAATATAACAATGTATAACCTGGTATATCTGGAAATATAACAATGTATAACCTGGTATATCTAGGAATATAACAAGGTATAACCTGGTATATCTGGGAATATAACAATGCAAACCTGATATATTTGGGAATATAATAATGTATAACCTGGTATATCTGGAAATATAACAATGTAAAACCTGATATATCTGGGAATATAACAATATATAACCTGGTATATTTGGGAATATAACAATGTAAAACCTGATAAATCTGGGGATATAACAATGTATAACTTGGTATATCTGGGAATATAACAATGTAAAACCTGGTATATATGGGAATATAACAATATATAACCTGGTATATCTGGGAATATAACATTATATAACCTGGTATATCTGGGAACATAACAATATATAACCTGGTATGACTGCGAATATAACAATGTATAACCTAGTATATCTGAGAATATAACAATGTATAACCTGGTATATCTGGGAATATAACAATGAATTCTGCAATATCACTGGTTTCATTGGCAGGTCTAAACGCAAAAAACCTTGTTAGAACTTAATTATTAGCGCTTGATAAAAATATTTCAAAATTAAGATAATTTGCTTACTTTGCATAGCCCTCTAAGTTTCCATAATTACCAGTACTGAAAACAGAATGATTTACACTTTCAACGGGTTTTTTCTAATTATTATCTTGAATTGGGTTTTTGATTAATTTGATTATAATTTTTTAGAACTTACTAGTAATTGACTTGTTCGTTAAACACTCTTAAAGTATTATTTCCTAGATCCGAATAGGTTGCTCGAACACATCTTGCCCCTAAAATTCAAATAATAAAACTTAAAAAGAAAAAAAAAATAGGATTATAATATTACCAATTGAAAATAGTTCAAATACACTTGAATATTCATACCAGACTCCTAAATATCTCTGGACCTCAAAGTTTTCAACTCCTGAAATAAAAATGTATAAAAGCTAGCCCAAAATATAATAACAAAAGTTGGTTTACAAATATAATAAAATAAACAAGATAAAATAAGCAACACCTCCTGACCTGTAAACCATTTCTAAAATTCGGTGAACAAAATTATCATAAACCATAAACGCGGATAAATATTTGGAAAATTTTTCTTATCGAGAAGAAATCCTATTACATTATATTATCGTTGATTTTTTGATAATCAATTAAATCTAAAGAATCTGCATAAATAAAACAAGTTAGCACAAGTCAAAATGCGTTCAGCTAAATCCAGTTTAAAAATAAAAAGTTTTTAAAAGATTTTTTGAAAATCCTTATGAATAATTTTGAAAAGCCCTTGACTATTGTATTTCTAAAATGTGAAAAATGAAATTGAAGAAGTTTGTGCAAAAAAATATCATTAGATAAAACGTACACTCTCTTCCTTCCTTTCCGCTCTTACCTCTTACTGGAGGACATGATCCAAAACTTTTAGTTGTCCCCATAGATAATCCAAACAGGGTTACCATATACACTTTGCAATTCAATATTTAAATTATGTAAAATAGATAATCCAAACAGGACTAACATATACACTTTGCAATTTAATATTTAAATTATGTAAAATAGATAATCCAAACAGGGTAACCTACTAAACTTTTCAATTCAATTTTGTAGTTAGGTAAAATAGATTTTGCAAAGATATGAAAGCTTTTTGCACTCCGCGTGTTATCTTACAATATGGGATCGAGTGTTTTATTACTACCCAATGTTCTGTAAAGTGAAGTACACATTCAGTTCGCAAAACCTTAGTTTCCCATATTATTTTCCGCATATATGAAGAATTGAATAGACTTATGGATAAAAAAAATTAAAAATTGCAATAACTGATTGTTAAAATTCATTTTCTTTAAAATTTCATTCCTAAGAATTTCATTTTTGTCAGGTCTACGTTTGGGATCCAGGATAGAACTGGGTAAAAATTCATTAATTCGAATCTTATAAGCGCCAATCCCAAATTCTCGGAACTTTGAGATGGAACCTTTTGGATGGAAAATCTTATTTACAAACATGCAAACTTAATATGACTTATAATCATAAAAAGCTAAAAATATCCAGAAACATTCTTAGATTTATTTAATTTTAAAAATAAATATTTTGTGCAAAAAGTTTCCCTTCCAAACTTTACACTTTACAGTCGAATGATTTGAAAATTAATCGGTGAGAAAACTTTGTGCATTCTTAGGTTCTTGTGCAGGTGCATGAATACTTAAATCGATTTCATAAAATTTAAAATTATAAAACTTGTGTTTATGTAAATCCTTTTAAAAATACATAAATTTGTTAGCAAATTAAGGTCTATAAAACTTAAAATATCGTGGGAAAATGACTTCCGAATTTTTCTGTTCCTTTTAATTTGAATATGCTTATGCTATTAAGAAAATTCCATGAGTTTTAAGAAGAGAAAAATATATTTTTTTTTTCAAAAAATCCACTTTTAATAATTTCAAAATCGTTTCTTGCAATATCACTTTTGTTTGATGGTTTCCATTCATGATAATTATTTTTAGAGTAAAATCTGAAATTTGAAAAATATATTCAACTCTGAAGCAGATCATCTATTAATCTTTTTTTTTAAATTCCAGTTTACCAATTTTTAACTGATTTAAACCAGAATTTTCAACTTTTTGGTTAGTTCATAGTTTATACTATTTGTCTGTTTGTGGTGATCAGATTATTATCAGATTAGATAATTTCCACAATTAGCCAACCGTATCATATTTTGTAAATATTTCGTTTAAGCAGATTTTTGCAATAAAAAGAGCAATGAGTAATTCTGTAAGTTATGAAATATCTTTATCATCATAAAATAACAAACACGATAAATTTATTTAGCAATAAAAAACATTATATCTATTATCTACCTCATTAAACATGATAAATTATTAAAATGATAACACGCAAGAAACCTTTTCACGCAACAAGTATGAGAACTTAATAAAAAATAAGGACAAACTTTTGTATTCTGAATCCCGGGATTATACAGGGTGTCCCAAAAAACCTGGGAATTCAGAGACGAATTCGATATCGTCTTTGTTATGAATGAATAATAGTATAAAGGGTAAAAGACTGTAGAGATGTGTTTATGTTTATGTGTTTATAATGTCTCCACAAGATGAACAGTGAAGACGGACAAGTTTACTCTGTTTGTATACTGTAATTTTCTTGTTTTACTGAGTACAACCGTATGCAGTCAAAACATAAACAAACAAAATGGGAACATAGCAGACAAAACTCTTACAGATTACAGCTTTCTCAGAAGGTATCACAATACTAAATCAAAGAATTATTTAAAAAGACGATATCGAATTCGTCACTGAATTCCCATGTTTATTGGGACACCCTGTATGTTAACCATATTTTGTGCAGGGTGCAGTTCAACGGAACAAATTAATATTCCGTGGTGGTTGCACCAGGGATTAAGCATTCACCCCTCAAATATAAAAGTTGTCACAGTGGATATCTAGATCAAGTGTTGTAGATTACCACTACTTAAAACAAAAGTTTTAACATAATTACTTCACTTCACTTCATCAAATAATGTTTTTTTTTCACAAACCTCAGAAAATAAACTGATTAATTGGTATTTTAAAACTGATCAAAATCAAAACATTAAAGTTAAACAAAATATTTCTTGATTTTTACTGATGATATTGTTATTTGTATAGGGTGTACCAACATATTGTTAATTGTATAGGGTGTACCAACAAATTGTTAATTGTACAGGGTGTACCAACATATTGTTAATTGTATAGGGTGTACCAACATACTGTTAATTGTATAGGGTGTGCCAACATACTGTTAATTGTATAGGGTGTACCACTACCAACATACTGTTAATTGTATAGGGTGTACCAACATATTTTCAATTGTATAGGGTGTACCAACATACTGTTAATTGTATAGGGTATACCAACATATTGTTAATTGTATACGGTGTACCAAAAAACTGTTAATTGTATAGGGTGTACCAACATACTGTTAATTGTGTAGGGTGTACCAACATAATTTTAATTGTATAGGGTGTACCAACATATTGTTAATTGTATAGGGTGTACCAACATACGGTTAATTGTATAGGGTGTACCAACATATTGTTAATTGTACAGGGTGTACCAACATATTCTTAATTGTATAGGGTGTACCAACATATTGTTAATTGTATAGGGTGTACCAACATATTGTTAATCGTATAGGGTGTACCAGCATATTGTAAATTGTATAGGGTGTACCAACATATTGTTAATTGTATAGGGTGCACCAACATATTGTGAATTGTATAGGGTGCACCAACATATTGTGAATTGTATAGGGTGTACCAACATATTTTTAATTGTATAGGGTGTACCAACATACTGTTAATTGTATAGGGTGTACCAAGATATAATTTGTTGTACAAGGGATATTTAAACTATTCTGAATTTGTACCAAAATAGTGTTCATGTGTACAACGTACAGGATGTTACAGCTGAACAATACAATCTGTACATATTTAGACATGTTGTAAACATTGCGGATTTCCTCTCTGTCAGCAACATTTAGAAACTCATCCAATCCATCAGGTGATTTTTAATCATTGATCATTAATAATTAATCATTAATCATTAATCATTAATCATTAATCATTAAATCATTAATCATTAATCATTAACCATTAATCATTAATAATTCATCATTAATTAATCATTAATCATTAATCATTAATCATTAATCATTAATCATTAATCATTAATCATTAATCATTAATCATTAATCATTAATCATTAATAATTCATCATTAATCATTAATCATTAATTATTAATCATCATTAATCAATCATTAATCATTAATTATTAATCATTAATCATTTATCATTAATAATTCATCATTAATCATTAACCATTAATCAGTAATAATTTATCATTTATCATTAATCATTTTTCATTAATCCTTAATCATTAATTATTAATCATCATTAATTAATCATTAATGTATAATATGCATATATCACTACAATGAAGTGCTTGATAATATATTTCTAATGTAATGTATGTGTTTAAGGATGAATGTAATGTATGTGTTTAAGGATGAATGTAATGTATGTGTTTAAGGATGAATGTAATGTATGTGTTTAAGGATGAATGTAATGTATGTGTTTAAGGATGAATGTAATGTATGTGTTTAAGGATGAATGTAATGTATGTGTTTAAGGATGAATGTAATGTATGTGTTTAAGGATGAATGTAATGTATGTGTTTAAGGATGAATGTAATGTATGTGTTTAAGGATGAATGTAATGTATGTGTTTAAGGATGAATGTAATGTATGTGTTTAAGGATGAATGTAATGTATGTGTTTAAGGATGAATGTAATGTATGTGTTTAAGGATGAATGTAATGTATGTGTTTAAGGATGAATGTAATGTATGTGTTTAAGGATGAATGTAATGTATGTGTTTAAGGATGAATGTAATGTATGNTATTTAACTATTAAAGAGATAATTGTATTATTTGTATTTAACTATTAAAGGGAGAATTGTAATATTCATATTAAACTATTAAAAGGGAGAATTGTAATATTTATGTTTAATTATGAAAGGGAGAATTGTAATATTTGTATTAAACTATTAAAGGAAGAATTGTAATATTTGTATTTAACTATTAAAGGGAGAATTGTAATATTTGTATTTAACTATTAAAGGGAGAATTGTATTATTTGTACTTGACTATTAAAGAGATAATTGTATTATTTGTATTTAACTATTAAAGGGAGAATTGTAATATTTGTATTTAACTATTAAAGGGAGAATTGTAATATTTATATTTAACTATGAAAAGGGAGAATTGTATTATTTGTATTTAACTATTAAAGAGAGAATACACCAGAAAGTATTTATCCATTAATTGCTCCACTACGATGCCTCAGGTAAACATTTTACAAAAATAATTTGACATTAAATTAATTCCTTCTAACTTTACATTTTACTTATTGAGATTAATGAGTAAGCCTGATGCCTGGAGACTAATCAGTAATCTAATGGATCATAGGTACAGTTAAACATACTTTTAACAGAACTTTAAACTATTTTTTTAAACAAATGAGAAAGTTTTGATTCTTTTAGAGTGTCTTGAAAATTTTTGCATGCATTATTTATTGTTTTAATTTTTTAATGCGATTATATTTACCTTTTTAACTATTTATCGTTATTGTTGGGATCTTTTGATTTCACTGCACGATATTTGATTTTCTATTCATGTTATATTTTAGAGAAGAACGTTTAGCAGAATACGACATTTACATTGATCCTTACAAACAGACTGTTATAAATAAGGTAAATAATCCTAGATAATAACAAAAAAGAAACACCTAGCTATACCTCTTGTTTAAATGAATATCTCAAAGTGAGACGTATCTGAAAATATCATTAAAGTTCTAAATATATCTGGATATAAACTGTATTCAGGTGGTTGAAGAGCTCAAGGCTGAAACGGATGAGAATATTGTCAAGGTTCTAAATATACCTGGATATAAACTGTATTCAGGTGGTTGAAGAGCTCAAGGTTGGAACGGATGAGAATATTGTAAAGGTTCTAGAATACCTGGATATAAACTGTATTCAGGTGATTGAAGAGCTCAAGGTTGGAACGGATGAGAATATTGTCAAGGTTCTAGAATACCTGGATGTAAACTGTATTCAGGTGGTTGAAGAGCTCAAGGTTGGAACGGATGAGAATATTGTCAAGGTTCTAGGATATCTGGATATAAACTGTATTCAGGTGGTTGAAGAGCTCAAGGTTTTGGAACGGAGAAGAATATTGTCAAGGTTCTAAATATACCTGGATATAAACTGTATTTAGGTGGTTGAAGAGCTCAAGGTTGGAACGAATGAGAATATTGTCAAGGTTCTAGGATATCTGGATATAAACTCTATCGCTGTTCGAGGTAAAATTGGAACTTTTTTAAACCGATGCTTTGCAATTAATAAAGCATTATTTTTGCAATTTTTCCAATCGTAAAAAAATATTCAATTATAAAGAAAAATATACTGTTTAGGCTTGGATGGTGTATACAGGGGCAGAGGAATATATCCTATTGCTAGTTTAATGAATCATTCTTGTATTTGCAACACCAGAAATATAATTAATCACACAAAGTAAGGTTTTAATTTTAAAATTAATGTTTTATATAGAATAAAGGGCATGGTCAGGAAAGAAATATCTATTTTGTAATCTGCAATTTGTTTAAAATCTATAAAAAATTTCCTCGTATTTGTTGAATTCAAAAATGATATTTGAAATTAATAAAAGAATTAAAAAGAAGAAATTCCAATAAATACTATTATATTTGTTTAATTAAAAGACTGGATACTCGTGCCACTGTTAGTATAAAACGAGGAGAATGTATAACAACCCATTATGTGTCTCCTCTTCTAGCCGTTTATAACAGGTATAGTTACTGATTATATAATAACTAAACATGTACACTGTAAACATGTACATTGTAAACATGCACATTGTAAGCATGTGCAATGTAAACATGTACATTGTAAACATGTACATTGTAAACATGTACATTGTAAACATGTACACTGTAAACATGTACACTGTAAACATTTACATGTAAACATGTACATTGTAAACATGTACACTGTAAACATGTACACTGTAAACATGTACATTGTAAACATGTACACTGTAAACATGTACATTGTAAACATGTACACTGTAAACATGTACATTGTAAACATGTACACTGTAAACATGTACATTGTAAACATGTACATTGTAAACATGTACACTGTAAACATTTACATTGTAAACATGTACACTGTAAACATGTACATTGTACAGGGAGATTAAGGGAACAGGAATGGAGTTTGAAGGTGTACGAATTAATTAAATTGAATTTTTTTCCCATTATTTATATCTTCTTAAAAGAATGTTACCTTGTTTAAACCAGGTTACAAAATCTGCATTACACCTTTTAAATTGGGATTTATCAACCAAAACTTTTAAAATGTTCAAAAATTCAAATTTTTAAACATCGTTGAAAGATATTTAGTCTAAATTTGTTATCCTCATAATTTTGCTACCTGATAATGCAGAGCTTTGATATTCCTAGCTAAGATTATTTGATCTAACAGTATTCGTAGCATAGTTTAGGTCTACGACATTGGGTTGCAAAGATATAGGGATTATAAAATCAGACTCAATTCCTTTGCACCACATGAATCATCTGTTTTTTTAATGAAGTTTATATGATGTAGACAATCAAATTGACCGCTGTACTTCAAAATTTCCACATTTTAATACGAAATCTTTACAAAATAGGACATAGTTAAGAAAATGTTAGGCACTTTCCCAAAGGATTTTTCCAAGTAGCAACTTCCCAAGGTTATTTTCCCAAGTGGCAACTTCCCAAATGTGCAATTTCCCAAGCGGCAACTTTCCAAGTATTTCCTAGCCGCAGCGCTCGGCCATCAGCCTGTTCGAGCTTCGGCACTCGGCCCTATCCCGTCCTAACCGCAGCGCTTGGCCTACATTTTGGGAAGTTGCCGATAGGAAAATTACACATTTGGGAAGTTGCCACTTGGGAAATTGTCCCTTGGGAAGTTGCCCTCGGGAAAATGCCTTTGGGAAACTTTGAAAGTACCTAACACAGTTTAAAACGTCCTGCCTTTAATTTTAAATCATGCAAATCATGGAACGCAAATGTGTTTTATCTTAAAATAAAATGAATTCTTCTTAAAGGGAATTAACTATTTGTTGTCTCTGTATTAAGGAGAGAAAAGCTGAAGGAACGATGGTTTTTTGAGTGTTCCTGTCCTCGGTGTAACTCAAGCACAGATCTTCAAGCATTTACTAGGTACTCTGCAGGGTAACTATAGAACTAGAAATCCATATTATTGTTGACCAAGAAATTATTAGAATCAAATCTTTGCTTTTCTATAAATAAAAAAAAAATATTTACATTTTATTACTTCTGTTTTATAATTGATTGGAAAATTCAAACTTAATATTTGGCATTTTTTACATTTCTCATTCAAAATATCGTACTTTTGCATTTATTCTAAATCTCTATTAAGTGGAGTAAAGTGTACTAAGTGTACTAACTACCAAGTACCTGTGTACCCTCTACAGTTCAAATCCAAGTACAGGTCACCATATATATATATTTTAAAAAATTAAAAATAAATCTGATAAAATTTTATTATAATGTAGCATTTTATTTCATCCTCGCCGAATAATTCATGTACAAGTCTCAAGTAAAACTTTTTGCTTTGTAGCGTAATCAAATACACCTATTTATTGTTTTAATATCATCTTCTTACTCCACAGTTTTCTGCTCTCCTTGTATGTACCTGGGTATAGTACAGTACAGGGATAGTCAGTATTATCTGGATTTAGCCTGTTCACTGTACAACTCTAAACGCCCATGTTTAAGTCTTTATGTACATATTATTATTGTTTAATTATCTTGTAAAGGTTAAATGTTTCTTTATACACAAATCAAAGAATGATTGTTTAATTGATTTATATAAAACCTTAAGAAGACGATATTTCCAACTTTTTTGTTTTCTTTGTCAATTTACCCTTTTCAAGAAAACTGAACGGTTGTTGTATAGTGAAGGTGTCCTAACATCTTTCTTTAATATTGTCTCTAGAGTCCTGTGTCAATGCTACATACACGGGCAGTCGTAGTACATTTAAATTTCCGAGCCAGGTCACCCTTTCCGGTCCCAGTTTGTACTGTACCTAGCTCTATGGACAGGACTAGCCGGTGCAACAAGGTTGACGCGGTCAGACTTTATGCTTCATATAGGTTGAATTTACTTAAACTAAATGGGTAGAGGTACGTGCATAGAGGTGTAAACGACCAGCTAATAAAAAAGGGTGTTTAAAGTATGTATTTTCTAATATATGTATATTTTAGATGTCTAGGATGCCAGGAGGAGATATCCTGTGATAATGTAAACAAACTTGTTGCTTCCCTGGAACCATTGGTCCAAGCTCTCAATGTGAGTTTTCAATTTTTGGAATAAATTTTAATCAAAATTTTTACTAAAATTCTTATGAATTTATTATTATTCAGGTTTTCCAGATGCCAGGAAAAATCAATAAACTTAAATTTTGATTAAAAAAAACGATGAATCAAGGTTCTTTGAATTTCCTTCACTGTCTTTGATGCAACTATATATATATATATATATAATAGTCTCTCTTACAAAAAACAATATTTGAAAACTATCAAGTTTTAGACAGAAAAACAAGTAAAAATTAATTAATTTTCTACTCGAACAAAGGACTAAAGGGTGACGTTGTGAATCTAGTAATGCATGCAGCTGAACTGATTTTATGTTAACTTTTCCTTTATAAACATAAAATTCCTGTTAAAACATAAAGATCGTGCTATTTTGATACATATTGTTGTCATCATGCAATTTTCAAGAGCATTCAATCTAATTCCAATTTGACTTTTTAATTCCCTTTTCAATTGAACTGAACCCCCATGATGATATTCTTCAAAACTACATCAATAAAATATTATGAAAGCAAATATACCGAAATATTGATTGATTGATTGATTGAACCCCAGGGACAGACACTGAGGAAAGTTTGATAAGAACCCTGGAAGAAAAACTACATCCAACCCATCAACTAGTTCTAGGAATTTAACGTAAACAAACAGTTTCTAAACAATCATCATTTTAAGTAAAACAGAAGTTTTTGAAATAATTCTCATCAATTCTTTCTAACGATTCCTTTATTCTCATTTTAATTTCGTTTGTTTAAAATTTCTATGTTGTTAGATATAAAAATCAATCTTGCCAGAAAACTGGGAAGAACTACAGGATAAAATTCACATTAATCATAAATCACTTAATTACTTTTTGCTTAAATCTATAAACATCCCCATTGATTTGATCTTCTTTATCACAATGTTTTTTCCTGTGTACCTTATAAAGGAACTGAGCTCATGTAACAAAATCAAATTTTCAAATCTCGTTAAATTTGCAACCTGATATATGATAGATATTTGATATGTAAATCTTTTTGTTCTAACACAATTCATTGTTTGAAATCTCAAAGGTCTACGACATCAGGTTACAAAGACACAGGAATTAAATATCAGAGTTTGTTACAAGAGCACAGTTTCTTTGAAGATTTAATGTGAAGATATGCAGGTTTACTGAGATGTGCAGAGAGGAGTGTTGTGAAAAATAAGATAAATCTATGCATTGAAACTTTAGGAATTTATCAAAAATCCAATCAGAAAATAGTTCAATACATTACAATAAACAGAGTAAATAAAAATATAAATGATTCGAAAAATATATGATTGAAACCGTATTCAAAGGAATTGAGTCTGTTTCGCAAACTTATTTAAATTTATAATCCCATTACTTTTGCAACCCAAGGCCGTAGACCATAAACGTTTCAAACTATGAATTCTGTAAGATCAAATATAAAAGGTTTACAGTTACAACATCAAATTGCAAAGTCATAAAAATAATATTAAATTATTTATTTTGAAAGACCTTTAAACGATGTTTTAAAATGTTAATTTTAATAAATTTATAAATTTTTGTTCATAAATTTAAATTAAAAAAGGTGTAATGAAGATTGTGTACCCTGGATTAAGCAAGGTAAGATTTTTTCAGAAAAAATTTAAATACGAAAAAATTGATATAAAAAATATATATTTAATGTTTACACCTTCTTATTCAGTATCGTGGGCTTCTTCTATACGAGCTGGCAGACTCACTTGCTCTTATTCATACCTGGATACTAGACAAACAGATTAGTTCGATACATGGAGAAACTGATCCATCCCAGATATTAGATCCAGTATCCAATTCGATACCTGGAGGCACCGATCCATCCCAGATATTAGATCCAGTATCCAATTTGATACCTAGAGACACCGATCCATCCCAGATACTGGATATTCCATGGATATTTGGGTCCGTAGTGAAATTATTAAACCTGGATATATCTCCTACAACTTCTCCAGGATTGTTTGCGCTACATTAACATTTGTTTTACCTATTTGTCTACGAGATAATAATTGACATTACAATTGTTTTAAAGTTTTTGTTAAGCTACCGGGCATGTTGTATTTCTACTTGAACATGAATACAGCAATAATGCAGTGAACACAGACCCATTTAATTTATCTAATTAATTTAAGGTATTGGTAATACTTTTTGCCTTAAAACACAGAACAACTTTCATGGTTTCCTTTCCTAAAATTTAAAAATTCATTTAAAGTTTCTCTGCTCCCCACATCTTGTTTTTATATTGTTTTGCACAAAACAATAGCACACTTTAGACTGGCTGTAAAAATTCGAATAACTCTAACATTACAAATCATTTAATAAAAAATGCAAATAAAATTGTTAGGTGCTGATTGGCTTAAAATGTACAAATATCTCAGCTTGGTCGTCATAGAAGAAAGTAAGAAAATTAGTTTTGAGATACACACATAACACAGCAGCATGGTTGTAAAACTTATTATTATAGTCTGCAGACTACAAGTACCATTTTTCAATTATTTCGAATTTCTAAAACATTAAACATTATATCAAGGTTTGTGTTGCCTGAGATTTGAACGAGATGTGAGCTATGAAGGAGATATTTATAGAAACCTAATCAACATGAAGAACTCACTAGAACGGGAAAATTAAGAACATAAAAAATTTAGTTTTATTTTAGAAATAAAATTATGTCAAGTGTTTAGTTCAGATAATATAGTGGTATTTAGAAGAGAGTTTTAGTCACAAGGAAAAACGATTTTGTTATTTATTTTCTTAAAATTTTCATATTGCTTTTACATTTTTCCGTTGCTGTATTTTTCTGAAATTAACTCAAACAATGACTAACAGAAGATTTGCATATCATTTTCTATTACTATTTCTAATATTCAGAATTTGCAAGGCAAACATTTATAAGGGCTAAAATTGAGGACCTATTGAAAAGAACAACAATGGTTTGAATTATTAAGTCATTAAATCGCCTCTGTTACACTTAGGCCACCCTGGACTAACCAGAGTTAGAAGCATTCGGTTTCTTCTATTTGAAATCTTACGCGCTTTGGTCTATAACCAAACAATCTTTAAACTTACGGTTATGTTTGTTTTAGACTTTAATTTCATTCAAAATGTATTTGTCGGCAAAAAAGTATTGAATAAAAAAGGCTAAAAAATTATGTTTAATAGCAAAATTGTGATGGAAAGTCACAGCTTTCTAGAATATTGACAGAACCGTTAAATCCACGTGAGGCATAAAACTAGAGAAGCTAATATATATATATATATGCCACACAGTAAATTGTACATACATTTGAATTTTGTCTTACATTTGGCTAGATTAAAATTCAATCATTTAAGGTCTTATATGTAGCAAAATATATCCAGTTATCGTTAGGTTTTAAACTTAAAGGGACTGTAAGCGTTATTTCAAGTGACCCTCCATGCAAAGAGGGCAATGCCCGATTCACAACGGTACCCTTGAAACCTTTTTTCATACTAAGTGCTCTCATAATTTAGCCATAAAATTGGTTTATTACTTAATATAATTTATTCTCTTCATGGAACAGATGATTCATAACATACATATCATATATCTATTTATATATTTAGATATAACCTATCTAGCAATAAGCTATCCAAATAAAGAATAGAACATTCCTTTAACTTATTTTAAAATATGTTTAGAACATTTTCTTTTGTTAATTAATATAGTTAATTGCTAGACACTGTGTTTCTTGTTGTATATAATATATATACGTTGCTTGTATTGGTGTTTATTTGTTTTTATCCAGTCCAACTCACAAGACCGCGGTAAAGGTTTAATGATGGTCCAATTTTTTTTATCCGAGAAAAAATGTCGACATTTAGTAGTTTAAAGAAAAATCCCTGATAATATTTGTAAACTTTACGATTAAAAATGACGACTTGAAGAGAAAAATTAATCTTGATCTGGAATTACATGTTTTGACTTCTTTTGGTGTTCTCCATAAAGACTATATAGTTTGTGTTGAAGGCAGTATTAAATTATTTCAAGAACCTCAGCCCAGTATGGGAGGAGGGCAACGCGGCTCATTCACAACCTTCAAGGACGACATTTCTGATAACAAGATTATCTTGTGAAAACAAATAAAAAATGAACTTGATGCTTATACAATGCCATTATTTGGTAAGATGTAAATGTCGTTGTGCTAAAAATAAAATTGTATTCCAGAATGTCATCTTTCCTTGGCTTCTATATCAATACAAAGAAGAGGAGTTTGCTTAGGCTGAGCATCATATCTTGTCTCACATGTACTAAATAAATTGATAAATAAATATTTTAAAAGTTCTCAATAATCTACAAAGAGTAATTATTACAAATTCTGTTACATTAAATAGTCTAATTTTGAAAAATTTAAGGTGGTTTACACCATCAGGTTGCAAAGATATGGGAGTTAGAAAATTTAAGCTCGGGGCAAAAGTTCAACTCCTTTAAAGAATAAAGGGATCAGGTTTAAGCTTAACTATTCTTGAAGGATAAATAGTAGGAGTTACGTATTTTCCTTAAGGCATTTTCCCAAGTGGCAACTCATAAAAATGTGCATTTTCCCAAGCGGCAACTTCCCAAAGGTTAGGTAAGGTCTACTGAGGCGCCGCAGGTTTCAATTTGGGGGGGGGTGGGTGCTGCGGCTAGGAGGGTCTAGGGGGGAAGAGCGCTGCGGCTAGAATATTAGGGAGCCGAGCGCTTCGGCTGGGACAGACTTGGGAAATTGCCGCATGGAAATTGCATATTTGGGAAGTTGCCACTTTGGAAAAGTACCCTTGGAAAGTTGCCACTTGGGAAAATGCCTTTGGGAAATTACGTATTATCAAATGGTATTACCTTAAATCAGAGTTAGGTTCATGTATAATTCTCCATCTCACCAACTAAATTACATATCTATCAATATATCATTAAAATAAAAAAATTCTTGATTACATCTAGAAATAAAAATAAGCATTAAGCACTATCCTAAGGCCAAAACTTTTGTATTGCAATTTTCGGGATCAAAAATTTGTCTCAATCTTGTAAACAGACCTTCGGATTCAAATAATTCCACTCGGATATCCCAGGGACATTTGGGTCAAGTAACGTTATTCTTGAATACTTGATCTAGGAATCCTATTTGGGCAGTGAGAACACAATTTAATTTGAGGACCGTTGCTTGATCCCTTCAGTTTAGATATCCCTGCAGGGAATGACCACCAAACAAATACAATATCAACGAGAAATTAATTTTAAATCAATCCTTAGGTCTGCATTAGATGTAGATCAAAACTGATGCCAAGATTCAGAACACAAAAGTTTCTTTTTTTCTACTTGTTCTCACCACGTCGGGTTGGATGAGAGGGTTGAGAAGGATTGGATCGTCAGGAACTCTCAGAGCTGAACACATCATAACATTCATCCCGCCCGCCCATTCAGAGCAGGGGGGTGTGGCATTCTAAATATAATTAGATCTGAACACATCATAACATTATTCCCCCCCCCTCCCCTCCCATTCAGAACATGGGGTGAGAAGGACGTTTGAAATGGATTGTTTCTCTTTTCAAATCTTCAGGATCTAACGTTTGTAAAATATTAAATGAAGTTCTAAATATACTGCAAATTTTTCAAAAAAAAAATATTTTTATAACTGGCAAGCTCGTTTTAACACAAATTAAATAAGTTTTATAGTTATATGAGGTTGGGTTAGAGACTTTCATCTCTTGAATTTCATTTTTTATTTGTTGCGATTACCTCACACGCATCTTTAGCAATATCACAGAAATCTTGAGGTATAGGGATTCCAGGTACCTTAATTAAACATATCAACATTATTATAGGGATTCCAGGTACCTTTATTAAACATATCAACATTATTATAGGGATTCCAGGTACCTTTACTAAACATATCAACATTATTATAGGGATTCCAGGTACCTTTCTTAAACATATCAACATTATTATTTTACATTTTTAATTATTATTATTTTTATTATTATTATAAGTAGTAAAGTATCAGTAGTCGAATTATTCTCATAATTTTTAATATTATTATCATTGTTATTATCATTATTATTATCATTATCAGCATCATTGTTATTATCATTTTTGTCATCATTATAATAACTAGTAAAGTATCAGTAGTCGAATAATTATCATAATTTTTATTATTATTATCATTATATTCATCATAATTATTTAAAGTAGTGGCTGTAATGAAATCATATACCATAATTTTTATTATTTTTACCATTATATTCATCATTATTATTTAAAGTAGTGGCTGTAATGAAATCATATACCATAATTTTTATTATTTTTACCATTATATTCATCATTATTATTTAAAGTAGTGGCTGTAATGAAATCATATACCATAATTTTTATTATTTTTACCATTGTATTTATATTGTAAGCATAAGCTTAAACTACTAGTAGAAGCAGTAGTCGAATTATTATTATTAATTTTATCATTATTATCATCATTACCGTTCCATGTGCAGAGTTTTTAAGGCCAGCAGGTGCTAAAACGGGTATATTCACTGCCAAGTTTTAAGTTAAATATCTCAGGATAGAAACAAATAAAAATCTGGCTTAGTTTAGTTAAGGTAACATTTTTTATACATAAATCTTATTCTTAAAAACTCTCTCAATTTCCTTAATTCCATGATTCATAATTTCCTCTTCATTTCTTTTGGTCCGCCAAATATTCGGTATTGTTGTAAACCATGCATGTAATTGTAGACTGGATTGCCAGATTGCATTTAATTTTTTCATCTTAAAATCATAAATATCAATGCATTAGAGGAATTCAATTAGTTTACTCTTTATGAGTCAAAAGGAATTGGGTCTTTGCAACAAACTATTATTTTCTAATTCACATATCTATTATATTCTCTTCTACTCTCTTCTACTCTCTTCTATTCTCTTCTACTCTCTTCTACTCTCTTCTACTCTCTTCAACTCTCTTCTATTCTCTTCTATTCTCTTCTATTCTCTTCTATTCTCTTCTATTCTCTTCTATTCTCTTCTATTCTCTTCTACTCTCTTCTACTCTCTTCTATTCTCTTCTATTCTCTTCTACTCTCTTCTACTCTCTTCTATTCTCTTCTACTCTCTTCTACTCTCTTCTACTCTCTTCTATTATCTTCTATTCTCTTCTATTCTCTTCTATTCTCTTCTATTCTCTTCTACTCTCTTCTATTCTCTTCTATTCTCTTATATTCTCTTCTACTCTCTTCTACTCTCTTCTACTCTCTTCTACTCTCTTCTACTCTCTTCTATTCTCTTCTAATCTCTTCTTTCTCTTCTTTCTCTTCTATTATCTTCTATTCTCTTCTCTTATCTTCTATTTTCTTTTCCTTTCTTCTATTCTATTCTATTCTATTCTGTTCTATTCTATTCTATTCTATTCTAATTTATTTGCATGATTTATTATGATTTTAAGAAACTTATTCCTGGAGGATCCTGAAGGGGTAGGGTTGCATTCATACAGATCTGCACTCTTCTACCCTAGAATACATTACTAGATATACCAGAATACTTCAGAAAATACTGCGTGGTCCAGATAACGTAGGAGACACACACTATAGAAATACATTTGTATTGCTTCTAATATAAATACATAATGAACAGCAAGGATGTAAACGAAGAGGAAGATGAGTAGGTCTTCTCTGGTTCCTGATTTACGGATTTTATAATCCTCTTCTGGGGATTTTCATCCTTTACAATACCTTAATGTTAGTAGATGTACCAGAATACCTTAATATTAGTAGATGTACCAGAATACCTTAATATTAGTAGATGTACCAGAATACCTTAATATTAGTAGATGTACCAGAATACCTTAATATTAGTAGATGTACCAGAATACCTTAATATTAGTAGATGTACCAGAATACCTTAATATTAGTAGATGTACCAGAATACCTTAATATTAGTAGATGTACCAGAATACCTTAATATTAGTAGATGTACCAGAATACCTTAATATTAGTAGATGTACCAGAATACCTTAATATTAGTAGATGTACCAGAATACCTTAATATTAGTAGATGTACCAGAATACCTTAATATTTGTAAATGTACCAGAATATCTAAATATTAGTAAATGTACCAGAATACCTTAATATTAGTAGATGTACCAGAATATCTAAATATTAGTAGATGTACCAGAATATCAAAATATTATTAAATGTACCAGAATATCTAAATATTAGTAGTTGTACCAGAATATCCAAATATTAGAAAATACACCAGTTTATTTAAATATTAAGAGAATATCAAGAATATTGAGTAAGAGTATTGGGAAATATATCATTTATTAATATATATTTAAATCAGTATGTCGACATGAATGTTAGGAGGTATACCAGAATATCTAATAATAGGAATTGTTCCTTCAAATTTAGAAATTATGCTAATTTGTAAAAAATATATAGATTTACTATAATTTAGAATATAGGATCTGTTAAATAGATTTACTATATGGTAATTTAGAATATAGGATCTGTTAAATAGATTTACTATATGGTTATTTAGAATATAGGATCTGTTAAATAGATTTAATATATGGTAATTTAGAATATAGGATCTGTTAAAACTCCGAGTTCAAAGTTTTACTGTATTTTCTCGATTATATTTATCAGTAACTTTATTCCGTAAGAGAGTGTTTCTGAAGAAACTAGATTTATTCTCTCCAGGTGAACTAGGGGTTTAAATATATTTAGTTTTTGACAAAACTTGTTAGGATTATACTGATGACAATATTTATCAACTTTCCTTCTAATCTAGACAGATGAAAAGGTCAATTGTATCCAAATTACTGTTACGACTTATGACCTCGTAGTTCCTCCCAAGTATAGAAAAAAAACAAGATTTATTGGGTAACATATTATAAAATCAAATCTTTTCAATCATTGCTCTTCAATCTACCGTAAAATTTAGTTCAAATATTGATGTGCTTTAATAGAACAATCTAATAATATTTTGAATAGAGCTATTACTCGTACTTTCACCTCACCATTTCCCATGCCGGTCACTTACTAGCTTTATTATACGTATATTGGAAGTGTAAAAAAATTCTCATTTTGATAAAAAATAATTGCAACGAAATTTCAAACAAATCCACAGAAATTCCAAAAAAAAACATGTCGAAAAAAGCAGATGCAAATACAATTAAAAGAATTCTAAAAAGTTTGTTAATTTAAAAAAACTTTTGAATCAAATTAAAATTCGACCAAGAACTAACATTTTACTACACTATCTATCTATCTATCTATCTATCTATCTATCTATCTATATATCTATCTTTCTATCTTTCTATCTTTCTATCTATCTATCTATACCTTGACTAGAAGATGTCTATTCTTGCAGTTTTCTTGTCTAGCTTGTGGAGCAGATATCTGTACACTGTTCACTGTCAGAGCTCCGGCTAGAATATCAAATATCTTATATAAATGTAGTTCGTGAGGAATCCCTTCTCATAATAATTTTGATATTAAATTCTTCCAAGTTTAACCTGTAAATTGTAAATCTTAATTAAATCATATTTTCAGTTTCATTTACTAAAATAAAATGTTCTATTTCTCTGAAAATTCGGGTACGTATTGTTTGTTTCAGGGGCGGATACAGGATTTAAGAGAGGGGGGGGGGCAAGATTTTTAGGAAGCAAAAAATTAATAGTTAGGGAGAAAAAAAAATTTTGACTTAAAAGACTCAAAAAGAGTCAAAATTAATGACTTAAGACTAAAATACTAGATTTTTAAATTTTAGGGACAAAATTTAAGGATTAGAACAGGAATTTCGGAACAATTAAAAGATTGTTTAGGAATTAGGAACAAAAATAAAGGATTCGGACAGGGATTTAGGAACATTAAAAAGATTGTTCAGGAATTAGGAACAAAAATAAAGGATTAGAACAGGAATTTAGGAACAATAAAAGATTGTTCAGGAATTAGGAACAAAAATATAGGATTAGGACAGGGATTTAGGAACAATAAAAAGATTGTTCAGGAATTAGGAACACAAATATAGGATTAGGACAGGGATTTAAGGTGGGTCGGACACAGTATTAGGAACAGGAACAATAATAGGAACATTAGCAATTTAAGAACAAAAAGAAATTAATAGTTATTCTTAAATGGATGAAAATTGGGAACAATATTACAATTTTGATAAATGAGTTTTGATTAAGGAACATTACTAGAACAATATTATAACTTAAGTCTAGTTTCTTACAAATTTCTAATTCTAAACTTATCGTTAACAATAACATTTATCAAATTGGGAACATTTTTTGCCTCAAAATCTCAGGGGGGGCGAATGTCCCCCCGCCCCCCCCTGTATCCGCTCCTGGTTTGTTTTGTGCTTAGAAAATAACTTACCACAGGGTTTATATGAAGCAGGAAATAGCCTGAATTTTTGGCAGCTTACAATGCCCAAGAAAGTAAAAAGAAGGAACCATCTAACCCCCTCCATCTTTTATATTTTTATCTAACAAGTAAAAAATATATGTTTTGAAACACCTGCTTTTATCCTTATATAATTCCCATATATATATATAGATATATTGAACTGATCAACCAGGGCCATTTTTTTTTGACAACTCGCATGACCCCAGGAAAGATAAGATTTTACGAAAATTATTTATAGAGTGGAATGTCCGATCCCCTGCACTCTCCTTTACATCTTTGTTTTATTGGTAAAGAATAGGTGAAGCATTCTTAATAAATTTGTAAATTTTCAGTTTGGCTTCTATATAAAAGTGACTTGCGCATTTCTGTACTAAAGTACAATGAATAAAATTGGCAGAATTTCACAATTCAGCAAACAAGGATATCCTTCTTATTGCATGCTCCAATAGAGGTGTAAAGGGAACTATAATGAATCGGACATACCATTAGCTCTAAAAGTGGAAGGTTACTAGAAATAACGTCTGCAGTGACAGTCAAATTGATGCGTAAAATAAGTGCGTAATTGATATATGTGCAGGATCCAGTCCTCGGATCAAACTGGAATCTTTCCTTTGAAAAGTAAAAGGACCGATTTCTATCAAACCTGTTTAGGGTCAAATATTCTTCATCATTTTTTTATTTAATAAAAACTAAATTACCCTACAAAGAAAGGATTAAAGGGGGGGATTGGGGACATAAAATATATTTGTTAATTTAAATATTTGTGGATCTTAAAACCTGTAGTTTTTTAACAGTAGATCTTTTTAATATGAATCAATTTTTTGTAGTTTAAAGTCCCTGTTTTGTAAATGTACTAAACTGTACTGCGGTTGATATTATTGCCCTCCGGCAAATATAATTGAAATATAAAAACTAAGCGGGTTCTATAACACAACACTTAAAGGAAGGGTTCAAGGAAAAATAAAGTCATTAAAGAACCGTGTTGGCACAGTTTTCATTTCTATCCGACGTATCTGATATAGTAGATCGTATCATTTGCACTAATGATTGAGCGGACTAACGTACATTCGCACTAACGTTCATTCGGACTAACGTTTTATTTGAGGGTTATAGGTTAGGTTATGAGAATTTCTGGGCCGAGCGCTGCGGCTAGGACAAGCTAGGGGGCCGAGCGCTGCGGCTAGGACAGGCTAGGGGGCCGGGCGCTGCGGCCACAAGTGTTACTTATCAGCTGACTTTAGTGCAAAAGTACGTTAGTTTAATCGGACATCAGTGCGAACGATTATAGCATCTCTGATATAACAGTATTACAAGTCGTCTTCAACAGGCCCCAAGCTTTCTGCAATGTACTTTTTGTGACAGGAAGGACACTGCAAGACAAATATAAAAATTAGTACTTTGTGCGTTTAGATTATTTGTGTTTTTAATTTTAAAAAAGTGTGAAATATTTCGCGAATTTTCAAAAATGTAAACCATCCCTTTAAACCCAATGATAATATGAAAAGACCTAGTATAAATCCTGTTCGAAAATCCAGATCTCAATTTCTTTGTTGCCTGAATTCTGATAACATCTTGAATACATTTTTGTTCATACTAGCTTGAGAACCCAGCATTGCCCGGGGTACTCATAGTGTAACAAATATCGTAGTAAACCTTATATTTGTAAACCTGAACACACCTAGATATATTACGTTGTACATTGTCACCTAACTACGCCTGTAAATAACTACATCAAACCTGTATTGTGATTAGCCTTGTATATATACGCTTGAATATAAGGATGCAAAAATTGTAATTAAGTTCATTAACTTAACCTGTAACATAGAACTCGAAATATATGTCAGTTAGAATAATACTCAACTTTGATTATGGTGTTAGAGTAATTGTTCCTTGTTTAACGAATGAGAGACATCCTTTATAACTTTCTTGAAAGATAGATATAGATTGGGGAATTACAGTGAATGGTACCTTGTAAGACAGGTATCTGAGAATACAGACTGAGTAGTATCCGGATTGATATTGACCATGGTTTTTGTGATGAACTTTGAGTTCTAGATAGAGTTTATCTTGTAAGACAGATACAGACTAAGTCATATCTGGATTGATATTGACTATGGTATTCTTAATGAACCTTGAGTTCTAGATTGGGTTGTAACATAATATGATAAAAATATTAAGTGCATGAGCTTAATCCCAAAATATTGTGTTTTCAATAAAAACATGTCAATGTTTGTTTTAGTCTTAGAATTCAGTAAATTCTCACAGGCTTGAAGAATTTCTGCAATCTAGGGTGTCTAAATGAAACTTAACAAAGATAGAAATTTCTGAAAAATCATATTATTGTTGAAAAGTATAAAATAAATGTTCTAAAAAACATATATTTATAGCTTTCAGTTTACATTTATACATTTATAATTAAACTTTATACTTACATATAAAAATATCAAAATGGGTACTTTTAGACATTCAAAGTTCTTTTTTGACTTCTCTGAGGTTAATGCATACTGCCAAATAAAGGGTGTCAAACAAAACATAAACTTTTAAATTTGAGCTTTTTCACAAAGTTAAAATTGTCTGTTTGTTTTGGAACTTAACCGTCAGAAAGTTTACAACGTTTATATGTCCGAATAGGATTTTTTCTAAATTATCACTTTTAAGAAACTTGTTGATAGTTTAACTATGTCTCCGCTGTTTATGATACACGTTAACCCCTCTCAGAGGCATACTCAGGGGGCCTCTCCCCTGGTTTAGTGAACTATATGGTTTCCAGGGTTTCTTGAACCCCAACAGGAATATAACCCCCCCTGACTAGAAAAAAAATCTGGCCAAACTCCTCAGAACGCCCCTGATTACCCTCTCTCTTATGCTGACGTGAAATAGTTTATATTTTCAAACTAATAATCAACAATGAATCAGAATACATAATTTATCAAAATCGAAGCATCATGTTCATCGAAGCATCAATGACATCCAGGAAAAAAGTAGATTTTCTTATTTACAGAAAAATCTTAACAAACATGTTTTAATGTTCAAGGTAAAGATGTAATCAAAAATCCAGTTATTACGTTATGAAAGTTGGACAATTTAAATAGAGGTTAAGAAAATATGGCAATAAATCAGGATTCAAGGCCCTATTTACTCAAGTTTTAAACTTTACTTATAAATACAAAGTTAATGCTTCCTACAATCTAGGTATTACAGCGTGTTTTTACAAATTTTAAACTGCAAATAATTTATCATTTTTTAGAAATTAGAAACCAATCTTCCCGCTTGCAATAATTTTGATATTATGTCTGTATTTATCGTCCGTTAGATAATTCCGTTCTAGATTAATAATTTTAAACAAATTTTTTATCTTATTAAAAATAAATTAAATATTTCTGGAAAATTGTGTTTTGGAACATTCTTAACCTTAATTACATCTTTTAGTCGTAAAATTGAGCTGTTTTTAATTTTTATTTTCAATTAGGTGAAATATCTCTTTGTTGTAGAATAAACTTAAGTTTTTAGCTTAGGTAAGTGCATAAATCATTTGTAAATTGTAAACAGTCTGAACTGGATTTCAAATAATTAATTATTCCAGCCAGAAACAACATGAAAATTTGATACTTTATTTTCTAATCCCTAAATCTGAATGTGAAAACCTTAATTATTTTTTAAACTTGGACTATTTGATCTCACGGATGGATTGATTTTACTCCTCTTCGATATACCGTGATGGTGATACCCTTGTAGGGGTAACTTTAAATAATGGATCAAGCATTGATCCTTAAACTTAAAAGAAGAGAAGGAAGATACCATATTACATTTGATTTGGTCTGTGGAGTCCTATATAAACTCCGCTGGCATTTAAATATGTGTTAAGGGGTAAAGCATGCTCAGAGTTGAACCGGTTTGCTTGTTCTTCAGAGTTAAACCGGTTTGCTTGTTCTTCAGAGTTAAACCGGTTTGCTTGTTCTTCAGAGTTAAACCGGTTTGCTTGTTCTTCAGAGTTGAACCGTATTGCTTGTACTTCTGAACCGGTTTGCTTGTTCTTCAGAGTTAAACCGGTTTGCTTGTTCTTCAGAGTTAAACCGGTTTGCTTGTTCTTCAGAGTTGAACCGTATTGCTTGTACTTCTGAGCTAAACCAGTTGGTTTGTTCTTCAGGGTTGAACCGGTTTGTGGATTCTTCAGGGTTAAACTGGTTTCCTAGTACTTCAGAACCATGGCATTGTGTTTGAAATTCGGAGCTAATAGAGCTCCGGGTTTGATTTTGCACAACAGAGTACAGATTTTCCTCTTGTGTTCTTGATGCTTCTCTTACAAAGATCAAATCAGATGTCACCAATTCTGAGTTTTGCATTGAAATAGCTTGACTGGTTGTTCTTCTTGTTGCTACAGATGTTAACGCTGATCTTGTGTCTGCTGAAAGATTTCTTGCAATTAGCTCTACTAGCCGGGTATCAAGGGGATCAAAGGTAGCAGGGACTGCTGGTGGTTCAACACACAAGCAGAGGTAGAGCAAGCGTATGGCCCTTGTCTGAAGGTAGGGGAAAGTAAATTCACTCTCTTTTAAAATATGAAGAATAAGACTAGTGAGAGGAATTGATAGTTCTAAAACCTTGACAACTTTTACATCTATGGTTGAATGAAAAGGCAAGCGTTTGTGGGTTAGTATACACAAAACCAGCCATAAAATTGTAGAATACGCACCAATTGTTCCCGATGTGATTTTTGAGCATTGAAGAAAATGACTGTTTACATCCTGCTGGCCTGGAATTGGTCTTGTGTAGATTTTAACAATCAAGTTGGAACAGAGTAAATAAAGTCCATAACTGAAGAAAATAATAGCATGGAAGTCTTGGATGACATCAAACTTTTCTACGAGGCACCCAGTGCTCTCCACTTCTAAAAATTCTAAAACACAAAAATATTAAAACACGTTTTTTTAAAAAAAAAAAGCTTAATTTAATATTTTGAGAAGCATACCGGTTTGCAAGTGTACTGCCAAAGCTGGTATATATATGATGAGAGCAGAGAGGAACACTACTACTATCGACCTAGACGCCAAACTCTCTTGGTCAAACATCATAATCCACTCATACTGAACATAAATCAAACATCATAATCCACTCATACTGAACATAAATCAAACATCATAATCCACTCTGACTGAACATAAATCAAACATCATAATCCACTCATACTGAACGTAAATCAAACATCATAATCCACTCATACGGAACATAAATCAAACATCATAATCCACTTATACTGAACGTAAATCAAACATCATAATCCACTCATACTGAACGTAAATCAAACATCATAATCCACTCATACGGAACATAAATCAAACATCATAATCCACTTATACTGAACGTAAATCAAACATCATAATCCACTCATACGGAACATAAATCAAACATCATAATCCACTCATACTGAACATAAATCAAACATTATAATCCACTCATACTGAACATAAATCAAACATCATAATCCACTCATACTGATCATAAATCAACCAATCAAAGGTCAGTGTTATAACCAGGAGCGTGTACAGGAATTGAACCGGGGGAGGGTCTGAATTTTGTAAAAAGAAATTTTAAAACCTCATGGAAACACATTTTTCCTATCCAGGGGGGCTCGGTCCTTATGACCCCCCCCCCCCCTGGACGACCCTATTTTAATCTATCAAGTTGCAATGCAAAGTTTGACTTGAAATGTTGTAAAAGGAAGAACAAGGATAATTTAAATCTTTTAATGTTGTTCTAGGCGATAAAATAAATTCTGAGAAGAAATGGGGAAAATTATTCTAAATCTCCAGTTTGCATCTCTTAAAATATAAAACAATAGGCATTAAAAGAATAATTTACAAATATATTATTTCTCTACTAAAATGATTTTTTCAGTGAGACAATAGCACGTTAACTAAAAGTATCGAAAGGAATCTCAAAAAATAAGTTTTAAAAGGTAAAAAGTATTAAACAGACTTCTTAGGGCAATAAAATCTACATAAAGTATAGCCATGCAAGAAGAAATAGAACTGTTCCACATTTCTATTTCCAGGGAATCCAAAAATCCTGGTTTTCTGAGGTTTGAATTAATGAATAAAGAGAATTAGTTGAACAAAATAATGGCAGATATATATCTAACAAGAAAAAATTTATCCATTTGGTGTACCGTCCCATTTTCCCGCCTTCATGTAGTAGTGTAAGAGACATAGATTGATTCGTTTTGGAGATTTTTGGACTTTTAAAAGCGTCACACTCTTCACACAAATACTTCCATTATTTCAAAACTATATTCTGAAAACATTTGCTCTTCTTAAACTTTGCAAAATTTTCATTCTTTTAAAGAATATTTTGTATATATTTTCTCTCAGGGTCAAAGCTTGGCATAGTGTATAAATGCAATTATTACATTTGTAGAACTTATCAGCTTTTTGTGGATTTTATCAGCTTTTTGTGGAACTTATCAGCTTTTTGTGGAACTTATCAGCTTTTCGTGGAACTTATCAGCTTTTTGTGGAATGTTTTTGAAAACAAATCTATATTCCATCACTCCCTGCATATATACTGTATCGCATATTTGTTGTCTAAAATTCTGATTACCTTCTAGATTAAGAGTTGTGACTTGAGTATCTTTTAGTCCTGCAGCAAGATCCTTAGCCCCTTGAGCTCCTAGGGAATCATTATTGTAAAGTAGCTGTTATACTAACCATACACTGTTTAACTATTTATCTCTTTTGATTGATTACCTTTACTATGATGAGAAGCTTGAAGGTTGAGCTGAGTAGATGAAGGGTAACTGTACAGAAGACAAGGTACATGTAGATGTACCGGACTAGCTGGAACATTATCAGGGGTAGTGTCAAGATCATGTTCTGACATATTCCAGTCACACACTAAACAACAATAGAGAGATTGTTAAAATATTTCAGATAAATTGAGTGATACCATTAAAAAGTGTTAGGAAATAACACCCACAGAGTATAGGAAAAAATGTATTTACAAGTAAAAAATGAACAAAGAAATGATACTAATGAATCATAGAAAGCCGGAGCTCTCTTGGTAGACTCTCTGCCTTTCATTCGCCTTGACCGAGGTAACTCTTCCGACTCTTTGTCAGTACTAACTTTGGTTTCGGTTTTAGCCATTTCCTCCTGCCTTGTTTTCAGCGTGTCTACTGCCTACTGGATAAATTAACAATAGAATTCCCGGTTTCAACGGTGGCTTGCTTTTCCACGAGGTTAGAACCATGTGTCCAACTCATGTTCTCTGAGTTAGCATTTCTTAACGGCAAAATATCCCTACACAATATAGATGAGGAGACTTGTCATCTGTTCCACTGTCTGTCCGACCAATAGAACTATCCACTCTTAGTTTAGCTACGGGTTCGTATGAGAAATGAAGGGGTTACATCAATTGATTTATCCTATTCCGAGCTACTGAGCTCAAACTGGTTACATCTTAGCTCCGGGTCCGTATGAGGACTGAAAGGGTTACAGTAGATGGTGTTGTGATTAGCATTGGAGTTAAAGGGAATGTACACACAACTTGAAGTGTTCTGCTTAGTATTGGAGTTAATGGGACTACACACAACTTGAAGTGTTCTGATTAGTATTGGAGTTAAAGGGACTGTACACACAACTTGAAGTGTTCTGATTAGTATTGGAGTTAAAGAGACTGTACACACAACTTGAAGTGTTCTGATTAGTATTGGAGTTAAAGGGACTGTACACACAACTTGAAGGGTTCTGATTAGTAGTGGAGTTAAAGGGACTTTACACACAACTTGAAGTGATCATTTATTTATACAGTGGCACAGCATGTCCTGTGCACAACGGTACACTTTAAACCTTTGTCTGAAAAAGAATGACGGAGATATCCTTTTTTTACCTACAAAATTAATTTCTTACCTATTTTATCTGCAGACACGCAATAAATTGGTAATATCTTTGTATGGAAACTGGTTCAAAACGATACTTATTGCCAATCTTGATCAGACAAAAGCGTACCTTTGTGTATCGGACACATACACTATGTTCAATTATAAGTGTAACAAAACTTTAAAGATACTGAAATTAATAAGCTCTATATTTATTTAGTTCTTGAATTTTCAAAATGTGGGTTGCCTGTTTTGTGAATTATGTTAATGACTGAGGGTTTTGTTTAAAAGTACTTATAAGTCTAATAAGCATGGGACATGACCATTGTGCAATGCAAACAGACCCACAACATTTAATTAGTGATAGTATCTACCAAAACTATTTGCTTTGTAACAACATAAAATACACTTAAGTGTTGTTATAAAGTCGTCTTCCTATTTCAGAGTTTTCTGGTTATCACTGTATGCTTTGTTTTACTAAAACCTTATTTTTGAGAACACTACCTTTAAAGTTAAATCACTACTTAATACTTACACAAACTAGAGCCAGGACGTTGTAGATCTCGAAGATGGTTTGACTGATGAAAATGATGAAGTTCTTGTTGATATCGTCTGTGCTGTTCTTTTGCTTACGAAGGATGCTGGAGAGTGTCAACGTTAAAATCAAGCAGATTATACACACAATAAATGCTATTGGATTAACAGCTGGGGTCAATTCTAAATTGTGTTTTAAACATTCTTTCATTTTGGAAACTGCTTATGTTTCCACGGTAGCCAACCTACTGTTGATGCTGTGAATAGACGCTGCTAGGATACAGTTGGTTGGTATTGAGAGCTGGGGCTAGAAACAGAGCAGTTTAAGAATAGAATTATTTGTTGAAGTCTAAAATATTGTCCCGATTGATTAAACAAAATCCATTACTAAAGACTAAATTTTGATGAAAATGTGCACACAGCTGACTACATATATTTGGAAGATAAATTTGATAAAACTTATATATATACTGACCTTTTATAACAGAAATTAATTTATTTAAATCATTGCTGACCATTTTAATAACTGAGCTCGTAATTTCAAGTGAGTATATAATGAATTGGCAAATCTTTATTTTCCTTGTGATTTCTCTACAAAATCTTTATTTTCTTGTGGTTTCTCTATAAAATTTTTATTTTCTTGTGGTTTCTCTACAAAATCTTTATTTTCTTGTGGTTTCTCTAAAAAATCTTTATTTTCCTAGTGGTTCTAAACAAAATCTTTATTTTCCTGTGGTTTCTCACAAAATCTTTATTTTCCTTGTGGGTTCTCTACAAAATCTTTATTTTCCTTGTGGTTTCTCTTCAAAATCTTTATTTTTCATTTTGGTTTCTCTACAAAATCTTTGTTTTCATTGTGGTTTCTCTACAAAATATTTATTTTCCTTGTCGTTTCTCACAACATCCTTATTTTCCTTGTGGTTTCTCTACTAAATTTTTATTTTCCTTGTGGTTTCTCTACAAAATCTTTATTTTCTTTATTCGAATTTTTTTAAAATCCCGCAAAAACATACTATGTGGATTCAATCAATGTATTTTTTTGCATCATGGTGCAAGCTTACTCACATCTACCAGAGATTGTGTTATTACAGGCTGAGCGAAGGTACACCAGAGCTGCTTGAAATCCACAAAGCTCCTGAACAAGCTCAAGCACCCCAAGGAGAACACCATGATCTGGTTCTTATCAGACGAAATAGATGTCTTTCAGGATCAAATGTACAACAGACAGAAAAACAGGTGGATCGCTGTGATCCCTAAGGATTCCCTAAAGTGATAAAAACCAAGTTTTGGTGTTTGGTTTTCGGTGTTGTCTCCAACAAGGGCGCCGTTATGCCCCTGCACATGTTGGAGGTCGGGTTAAGGGTCATCACCAACATCTACCTCCAGGTCATGGAGCAGACAGTGTTGCCCTGGATCTGGAGGTTATCCCTGAGTCTGGCAGGAGGGCTCTGCCCCCTGCCATGCGTCCAACAGGTCTATAGCCTGGCTCCAGGAGTACTGGTACAACCTCATCACCAAGGAGCAACGGCCTCCCAGCAGCCCCGACTTTAATCCGATGGATTATTTTATTTGGGGCTACTTTCAGGCACATACCATTTGACATCCCCACCCCAATAAAACCCGTCTGCAATTGCATCCAAATAGGAGCACTTCGCGATCCCTCCCCTTGACACTGAAGTATTCTGATAAGATTTATTCTATAGCTATATGAATCAGGGAAAGTCCCTTAACATGTGCTTAGATCGAGAAGAGGTGTTGACTTCCCCCCTGGCTTGATGATGCTGCTTCTCAGATCCCTCTACAGCAGTACTACGGAGATCTTCAGAAGGTTCACACCTCGAGAGGTTCCCTGTAACGTACTACCTGATGAAC